GAAGCAAACGGTTCTTGAAACGGCCAACCGCCTGCTTCTCCAAGATCTCGGGGGTCAGACTCGCTTCGGTGACCACACCTTCGATCTCCACATCACGAGCTGGGATGTAAACTCTGTACTCGAGCGTGAAGAGCTGGGAGGCAGCAATCTCGTTAGCCTGCTTCAGGTTAGAGACGGAGACACGAAGTTTATTGTGCCTAACCTTCGTGATTTCAGTCACGGCCGAGTATCGCTTCGTCAGATCATTAGTAATTTGCATTACATTCAAAGGTTTGTTTCTGGGCTGAAAGTAGACAACCCATGGGCCAGTCGAGTCATCTGGATAGGCTCGCGATCGGGGGTTTATCTGAGCCTGTCCTTTGCCAGACTGAGACGATGAACCAGGGAGAGATGACGTACGTTTTCGACCCTTCTTGCCATCGCGTGGCAAAGTGGTGTCATCTTCCGACAAAACGTCCATTTCGTCTTGCGACAAAATGTCCATTTTGCCGTACTAGTGGGAGCAAAAAACGCTCTACCACTGAAACGATAATCACTCGGACACAATACACAAAAAAAAAACTACAAACACAGAACACAAACTTAAAATTTAACTGTGGGCGAAAGAGAGAAACAAGAACAAAAACTTATCTGATAATCCTATACTACTACCACCGAGCGTTTAAACGGCAGCAGCGGAGCGACGCGCAGCGTGGATGATCTTCGATCAGCGTGTGCGGGCGGTCTTCGTTGGTGTGTGCTTATGTGAGGGTCGGCACTCAGCTGAACACACGATGATAGATGAGCGGTGTAAATGCGGAGGCAGATGCTGACACTCGATGACGATGATCCGTGTGCAGGTATGCGTTACCACGCACCGATGGTGCGCAAAATGGTTGGCGAATTGGCAATCGTAAAAACAATTTTCCTTCCGATGATGCCGAAAACACACTTTCTTCTCAGAAAAAAACTCACTTTTAGTTAATTATTTAGCCGGGAACTCTAAGCGAGAAAAAACTGACAATTTAAATCAAGCGAATAGCGAGAAAACTTCCAAAATAGCGGAGCGCGAACTAAGTCGACCGTACTTCTTGCTAGGACGCAGTGGAAGGGGACCCAGGCCTGCTGAGGTAATCACGCTAACCACCGGCGCCGATATCTTTCAAGGTGATATCACGGCGAATGAGATCGAATGAGTTTTCTCAGAAATAAGAAATAGAGTGCAGGGAACTCAGCGATGAGTAAATTTGCCTCATATTTTCCCAGGTTTTTCCAGGATTTTCCAGGGAAAAATTCCCGAATTTGAGAAAAGTAAAGATTGGATTCACTCAGTTTATTGGTACTACTCCAAGACTGAATGAAATTTTCGTCAATTTCCTCATTTTCTGGAAGTTTTTTTTTGGTTTTCCACAGGAAATCATGAGACAAATTTACTCATCGCTGAGTTCCTGAACATTTGGCGATTATAAGTGAACTAAACTCAAATTTGGTTGTTCTCATTCGCCGTGTAAGCAAAAGGAAAAGAGCCAGTATCGCCACTTGATAGCAAACTACTCATAATGGTAGGAGACTTTGTAGCTTTTATACCACTTGGTTGCACATCATTCTGCTTTAACTTGAAAAGATATAAAAGAGCGCTGCTGTATGGTATTAGCTCATTTTCGCTTCGGACGGCGTGGTGAACAGCAGCAGCAGTAGGAAGGTGGTGGCTAGTCCACTCCTTCACACCTAACAAGCAAAAATTGACTGGTCGTGGCAAAGGAGGAAAAGGTCTGGTAAAGGAGGCGCCAAGCGTCATCGCAAAGTTCTTCGAGATAACCGCCATCGGTCGTCTGGCTCGCCGTGGTGGTGTCAAACGTATCTCCGGTCTGATCTACGAGGTGTGCTGAAGGTGTTCCTGAAAAATGAGGTCCGTGATGCTGTCACCTACACTAAACACGCCAAGCGTAAGTGGCCATGGATGTCCTCTTCAATACAACGGCCCTTCTCAGGGCCATCAAGCTTACATCAGTAAAGAGTTGGAATAGAATTTATCTGTGCTTGTTTGTCCATATTCAGAACCACAAGTCCCCAACGACCACACAAAATGCTCTCCAGAGTTGTAATCTTGTGACCAAACTTGGAAGCATGGGTGCAAGTGATTTTGATTGATTTTCTTGATCAACTTTCTCTTTGAAAAAAAAATATTACAAATTTGGTACGCCTACAATTCAAAAACGGAAAGAGTTGAGATAATAGATAGTTGATCAATAAAAAGAACTAAATGCTCTTCACATTTATTCCGCCCACTAGCGGTCCTACGTCAAACTTCCGTTCGTGCCCTAGGCACAGACCCTTCTACTTTTTTTTACCAATTAACCCCCCCCTTCCCCCTCGGAGCGTGTTTTTCAATACACCTAATACATGGCCGGTCCCAACTTCTGAAACCCCTCTCCTCCCTCAACTACTACGTTATTTATGAAAGTTTCCTAATCATTGAGCAACAGTCAAAATCAGCAGCACACACCACACAAAACGGGTTGTAAATTTAGGTGACATTTAGGTATTGATCGTCGGTATCTCGCGATCAGAACATTTTAGCTTGAAATCCCTCCATATAATTTCCGGTACATCTTTAATCTATTGATTGAATAAAAATACTAAATATGGTTTTTTTTTAAGATTTCGTGCGTTTTATGAACACACATCCATTATTTTGCATAAGAAAACGGGGTGTTTCTATAGTGAAAAAAAAAAGGATTTCCCTACACAGATTACTGACTGTACCAAGCACTGAAACTATCAGACGGTATCTCTATTTATGCTTTTAGATTAGTTTTGAAAGTCCATCTTATTTGGAAAATTATGCCATAGAACGGTTTATAAAATCCCAGATTTTTTGCTGATGGAGGCGAGGCATAGCAAGCCGTTCGATTGCATAATTCTCCAAGTACTAGGTACTGAAATTCGGCAGTTAGCGTTCAAAAGGGCCTACTTGTAATGGTCGATTTTCTTCATCGATTTTCTCTTTACATTGCTACAGCTAAGCGAAACAATTCAAGCTGAATGTTGCATTAGGTCCTAAGTAACATTGACAAGATTCTTTTCGTCGACTTTCTCCTTGAATCCATTCGCCCTAGGTATTTTCAGCACACATATCGATAAAAGAAGTTTTTATCTAGCATATAATTTGACAAATACAAGAAACGGTTATGTGCTCAAGTTATTAACGGAAGAGAAAGACGACGAAGAGAATCGATCAATACTACTTAGGACCTAATGCAATTTTCAGCTTGAATATTATCTTAAATTGGTTCATTGTTGTATTGGTTATCAAAAGCAACAGCAAACGCACCGAGAAATGTTAATCCAAGCGAGTTATTAACAAAAGAGAAAATCTTTCACGGTTACGTCCTTATGTATGCTCACTGTCGAATTTGTAATCTGTGATAGATATGGAAGTCACTTTTTTCCCACCACAGAAACGCCCCGTGTTTTTATGACAAATTATACATGTGCGTCTACAAAACGCGAACGAAATCTTAAAAAACAGCAATATTTAGTAATATTTTTTTGCTCAATCGGTAGATAAAAGATGTACCGAGAACTTATTGGAGGGATTTATGCCTAATAGAGATCCTCCCAATCAACTCCAGAGTGATTTAAGATTTGGGCGAAATTGTGAAATAATGCACACACAAAAACGGAGTGCGCAATTTTGCACCAATGTTATGCAACATTTCGTAGTTCCGGAGAACTTCGAGATTTGGGCGTAATTGCTAATGTAAACAAATATTTCAATCACCGATTTCTCGCGAATAAAAATTCAGCCTAGAAAACTAACAACACACTCATGTAGAGAAACGATTCCTCTGTCATTTGGAATAGTTTGTTCGCGAAATTGAGCGTTTATTCGTAAGAAATCAACGATTGAAATATTTGTTTACAATAGCAATTACACCCAAATCTTCGATCTCCGGAACTACGAAATGTTGCATAACATTGGTGCAAAATTGCGCACTCCGTTTTTGTGTGTGCATTATTTTTTTAGCGTTTTGAAGTTGAATCGCTGAGGCAGCCTTATTTCTGATTAATATCAGTACCACATAAAAATTTCTAGAGCACAAATATCAGCTCTCACGAAACTTATAACAAAGAAACTAGAACTTCACGTTTGCTGCAGTGCAGTACACAAGGAGTTTTAATTTCATTTATGCCCTAGTAATCTTGAAGTGATAATGGATATCAGCCATCATGACGGTCATTGTTAGACGCTTCGATGAATCATCTGAAGAAAGCCTTACTCATATCTAATTGTAATTTAGGAACCAAATGTAATAGAATATGTAAATATTCGTATTTTTATGAGGTGAAAAATGCACGAGAATTTCACTACACAGCTTAACGTAGTCTATGTGTCTTGTACACAACCTCACCATTTTAATTACGTAATCTACAGCTTTATAGAAGGTTTCATCATGATATAATCAGAAATGAATTAGTTTAATTATAATTTTTGTAATTTTATGGACCACCGTATTTAAAACTTTCATCAAAATAAAGCCTTTATTATAAGCAACAACTTTACAGAAGTCACTGGGAAAGGTGCAATTTCTAAGACGAAATATTTTTTCCCCCAAAATTTCATTCCTGGACCATTGTTTAGTGCGTGCGATAGTCACCAGAATATGAAATGAAGCTATTTAACATTACACGTGAAAGGCACTTATTCAGGGTTTGTTGTGTGATGAAACCTGACCTACGTTCATTGTCATAATTTACCATTTCAACAATGTTTTATTGTGGATAGAATAGCAAAACTGAATGCTTCGACTATGGGATCATTATTTGAGGATCAATTTAGAACGGCTCAAATGCGAGGGTCGCTCAATTCGTATGACCTACATTTGATGAAGCCATGCTAACGAACTAAAGTCCATGATTCTATCATCACTGAAACTCACAAGAACACGTATGTATTTATATATCTACCAGGTAGGTACCGATTAATTCAATACAAGCCACACACAACGCAAACTTACGCCTTCAATGGGGTCACCAGCAGCGTCGAATGGTTCGGAATCCGGCGATGTTCGATAATTTCACGCATCAGCAGAACGCACATCCGACAACCGGACAGCAGATTCCATCTGGACCAGGAAAAATTATGTGTCAACGCCAGCAGGCCCATGCAGTCGTAAAGATGTGACTCCATGATGGGGTTCTTCTCGCACGAGCCCTCCGAATAATTAAACGCATCGTCTTCCGGGAAGAAATCCACAGCTGCCAGGCGTAATTGTTTCATCATTTTTCGTATCGGCATGACATGGCCCAGGATCTCCTGAAGGGCCTGCGTCGGGCCGCCCTGCAACGCATTGACCCGGAAGCCATGCTCGGTGATGGTGATTTCCGTATTGACTACGGCTGCGGTCAGGGAAAATGTTACACTGCCGGGGCTGGGAATGGGAGATTGGAAGCAAAACATATCGTGTTTAGAGCAGGGCATGGCGCAACAACGATTTCATTTTAGGTTTCATTGTGCGGGAAAACTAACAAAAGACTTAGTTCGTAGAATACGCATTAAATTCACGAGCAAGCATTCCTACCGGCTACTCCTACGTTGAACAGCTCTTGCAACGAATCAAACGAAGCTTATTTTAGTTCCTTTGAGAGTATTTTGTTAGTTTAATTATGTAGTATTTTCGTCAAATTTCAATCAACTTGACAGAATCTGGCTAAAAGAGAGACTCAAATAAGTATATTCATAAGGAATAAAGTTGTTACATATTGATGTATGGTATGTGGATGTGGATGTTGGCTGGTAATTCGTGTTACACCCGAAAGGAGGTGAAACTATACCACATTTACAGCAAACAACTGCAAGATAGGTCGAAAAATCATGCCTTATCGAGTTATTGATCTATTTATTTTACATTGCCGAGCAACCCTACCACTTTTTGCTCGGGTACTCGCAAATATTACCACCAGGGAGTAAGCATTGGTTGGCTACTATGATCAATATTTGTTTACTAAGCACTCTATTCAATTGACGCCATAAGCACAACTTATAACGAAACTGTTCACATTCGTTTTGACGTAGGATTACGTCTTTCGGCAATTTAAAAAAAAAAACCAAAATTGACCGCAGTATGAAAAGTGGTCAGGATTTGACCAAATATAACTCTGTCAATTCCAATCGAAATTGTTACCCATTAAACTCGAGCCCGCCACGAGTAATTGATACCTAATTCTAACCTCGAACTACTGCTGTTTAAAATGTAAATTCAAACATTACTGATTTTTGGCTTCGCAAAGTGACACACACGACTGACTAGTTTGAAAAAATCCTGGATTCGTTGAAATGCAAAAGGGTCACTGTGTCACTCCTACCCTGAACACTAGAGTACTTTCATACTCGCACACACCCACACACCAAGCTTGGAAATTTCTAAACAAAAGCACAAATTCCATGCACCGTTTCGATTTCCCCCTACCCCTCCCCCATACAAATCCCATACTTCTTGATGTCCGGCTTCACTTCCCACGACTGATATGGCAAATTGCTGTATCGGTTAGCGGCGAAGCCGAACGCCCCCAGCCGTCCGATCCGAAACTGGATGGTCAGTTTGTCCTCGTTGAATTTCACATCATGGATGTCCCTGGTGCTCCACTTTCCGACGTACTCCTTCTCCCGGTCGACCATGACATAGTTTCCCACCTCCAGAATGTCTCCGTAGTCCACTTCCTCGTCGTCGGAATCGAATTTACTCTTCTGGACCTTCTTCCGATCTCGGTCCCGCATCCGTTCCTCCGACCGTACAATCTGCACACTCTGCTTGCCCTGCTCGGCCTTGGACACTGTTGTAGCAATTTCTTCAATTTTAAATTCAAATTTCGGAGTTTTTGCATCAATTAGTTCGTCTAGGTCTTTCATAAACTTGGAGAACAGATATTGCTTTTTCCTCGATTTTCCACCTCCTCCAGCGGAAGCAAAGTCATTGTCGGAATCATCATAATCGGCCTGGTCATCGCTTTCCTCTGGCACGCAAGGATAGCTCAGTTTGTTCCGCTTGTTCCATATTTTCAGTATTTTACTGCCACAGCCTGGTGGGAAGAGATAGGATGGAATTTTCGTCTCATAAATGATGTTCGTTAGTGCCGCACTGGAGGGAGTTTTGGTGATTTTCCTCTTTTTCTCACGGGACTTTTTACCACTCATCAACAGGTGTGACTTCTTTTTATCATCCTGGGGAATAATTTTCACCGTATAGTTCTCCGGCAGCTTGGGAACTACGAAGTCATCCACAATGGAACTGAGATGGATGTGCGACGGGATGTCGAGGATGTTGAAATCTTCGATGTACTTTGTTTTTCTGTCTCGCATCGATTTAGTTTTGCGCTCCTTGGCAACTTGTACCATCTGTTTGTATTTGTCTAGGTACTTTGTAAAGCTTGGCTCGGATTCGAGTGTTTCGTCTCGGAGTTCCCACCGGCACACGATGGGTGGCTCGAACCAGAATACATTTTCGGGAAGCTGCAACGTGATCAATGCCAGTTTGTCGAGGTTTTCTTCCATTTGTTTGATTTCGGCTTCGATTTCCTCCGGCAGACGGCGCACTCCCGGCTGGGGTGTCGGTGGGGGGCGATAGGGCTGATAGAATTTCTTCCTCGTCAGTTGGCCTGGCTGGGGAACTGCAATAAGAAAGGGCAAAAGACGGTGGAGTGTGATTGTTATTGTATCATGAATGGAACGGAGGGTGTGATGGATCAATCCGCGACAAGACAATGATTCATATTGTCATGGTTTGTTGAAAATTCAAACAAGCGTGTGATCGGATTCGGATTTGTTAGCAGTTCTGGGAAATTTTTGATGGGGAGTGATTGTACTTAGAAATTACTTCAAGTTTTAAAAGACAGGAGTCTTCGTAGAGCACACAGGGTTATTTCATCCACCCACCGTTGTTATTCGGCTGTTTCTTAACCGCCGTATTGAGTGTTTGTGGTATTCCATGTAAATGATGCTCTTTCCTAATTCATTAATTCATGCACCAGGTTTTGATGTAGAGGATGGACATAGTATTTTTGACGTAGGACTACGTTTGTGATTTCTATATCGAGGTACACTTTGTGAAAACCGAAAATGGAACATGTAACGAAATTATGAAAGATTTTGAACGTTAATAACTCAGCTGACCCTGGACCAATTTCAATAATTTTACCACCAATCGATCAGAAATATTTCCATCCATCGATAGTAATGTTTCTGTTTGTTGATTTTCAACAAAAAACTATTGAAAAAGTGGTAAATATCAAGCATTGTCCAAAAGCATCGAAATAACTAGCAAATCCACCAATTACGTACATGCATATGCTGCTTCCCCAACACAGTCATCTGAGAATCGTTTCTAGACGAAACATGTCGATGTAGCATTGCTGCTTCCCGAACACAGTCATCAGAGAGCAGACATGGAAAATCATTTGCATTCATTTCATACATTCATTTACATTCATTTGTCCCTAACTTTTTTTATCAACAGAATTCCGCAAAATTATGTATGGAGGTTTTGTAGGGTTTGTTATTAACTACAACTTTGGTTAACAACTCAATTCCGTATTTCTTAGGTATGACGAACCAGAGCGAACAGAAGTCCCTACTGTTTTTCAGTGAATGTATTTTACATTCACTGAAAAACAGTAACAAGTTCTGGACGCTCTAGTTCGTGATGCATAAGAGATACAGATTTGAATTCTGGGCAAAAGTTGTAGCTAATAACAAATCCTAAAAAAACTCTATGCACTATTTTGCGGAATGCTGTTGATGAAAGAAGTTAGAGGCAAATGAATGTAAATGAATGCATGAAATAAATGTAAATGATTTTCCATGCCTGTCAGAGAGTCGTTAGTATACGAAACAAGTCGAAGTGGAATTCGCCTCCGATCTTCGGGCGTGTGCAAACAGGAAGGATGCAATCGCGCAACATTTTGCACACTCATCGCCATATTCAGAACCACACACCTCCACCGACCACTCAAAATGCTCTCCAGAGTTGTAATCTTGTAATCAAACTTGGTAGCAGTGGTGCAAATGATTTTGATCGATTCTCTTCATCGACTTTCTGTTTCGTTAATATCTCGACGGCAAACACATTCATCGTTTGTTGTTCTGGATGATAGAAGAGCATAGCAGAAATAGTGCGGTGGTTTGTGATGCCATGGTCATCAAAAGAGGAAATCAATGAAGAGAATTGACTTTCACCCCTCTGCTTCTAATAGCGAATTTGTTTATTATCGGGGTTGGAACCAGTTCCAACCCAGTGTGAAACCGAACTTTTTGTCAGTGCGAACCTCAACCTGAGGTGGGTTTGAAAAACGAACGATTAAACTGACGTTTGTCAGAAAACAAGTAGAGCCGATCTTGATACCGATCCAGGTTGGAACTGAATAATAAACAAATTCGCTATAAGTCCCATAATTCAGTCGTCGTCATAGCAATTAAAACGAGCATCGCACTGCTTTTGGTTCCTGGGTTACACTTACTGGTTGCAATTCTGCTGTTCGACATTTTCGAAGGCCCACCCAAAAACTCGAAATTACACTATTTCCTAGGGATGCCTAAAAGTCCAATTATTCGATTAACGATTAATCGTAAAGATTTTTCCAGCTATTTGATTAAATTAGGATTGGGCGATCTTGGATCGATCTTTTTCATCCCGATTTCTGATTTTTCGGATCGATTCTTTGCCCACGAAAAGATCGAAAAAATCGATCTCTTCTTTTGATCTTTACGATCTTCAAAAGAATATAATGTTAAATTTTTTAAGTGTATTTACATCGTAAAAACGATTTGCTCTCACCCCAGACTGCGTGGTAAATTTAAAGGACATAACGTCAAAATCAGCATCACTCCCTACAATGACGTCACTATTTGCGTTTCCGATATTTACGAATACAGAAACATTTGAAGGATTGTGATACACTGATAGGCAAAATAAAGTGCCCACCCCATCATTTTTTGAATTTCTCTCATTTATTTGGTTCAAATTAAAGTAAATACACTGTAGTATTTTTTATATCTTATTCTTTATATTCTTTTTAAGTTTCACTTATAGAATACCAGATAAAAAGAAGAGACTGACTCGAAGAAAAAAAAATCAAAATGGGTGTAAAAAAGAACAGTGACAAAAAAAAGTGCCCACTGCATTTTAACTCCAGAAAACATAAAATAAAGTAAAAGAATACCAGCCTAATAGTTAATGTGTCCTCCTTTGGCCTTCAGGACCAGCTGCAGGCGCTTCGGCATGCTCTCCACTAGATTCTTCAGGTGCTGTGGATCTAGTTCTTCCCAGGCGCGCTCCAGGGCTTCAAAATAGTTATTTTTATTGGTAACACCAGTTTTGTCAACCCTGGCATCGAGAATCGCCCACAAATTCTCGATGGGGTTGAGGTCCGGGCTTTGTGGAGGCCATTCCAGTGGTTTAATTCGACATGACCGGAAGAAAGACTTAGTCTTCTTGGCAGTATGCTTCGGATCGTTGTCCTGCTGGAATACGAATTTCTCCTCAAGGCCCGTCTGGATCAGCGAAACTTCCAGATTTTCCCGCAGGATGTCGATGTAGGAATCTGCCGTCATTATCCCGTCGATTTTCACCAGGCTTCCCACTCCACCCCACGAAAAGCACCCCCAGACCATCACATTTCCTCCTCCATGCTTCACCGTGCCTTGTATGTGGCGCTCCTGAAGCTCCTCACCCGATCTACACCACACACGAACCCGTCGCTTCCGGTTGAACAGTTCGAATTTTGATTCGTCCGTCCAGAGAACCGTTTTCCAGAACTCTAGGGGCTTATCAGCATGCTCCTTAGCAAACTTAAGCCGTTTGACTTTGTTTGCCTTGCTGATAAATGGGCGCTTCCGAGCAACTTTGCTGTTCAACCCCTGTGCTACGAGACGGCGACGAACAGTTCGACTGGAAACTGTTAGCTGAAGAGCCTCCTGGATCTCGCGGACAGTTACCTTCGGGTTCTTCTTCACTTCACGCATGATCTTGGTGTCCGTTCTCGCATCCGTTTTGCGCATCCTGCCTCTGCCAGGGCGATCCACCACTGATCCGAACGATTTCATTTTCTGCAGAATTTTCCCGACCGCTGTTTTGCTGATATTGTACTTCCTAGCGACAGACCGGTGCGATTCACCGTTTTGCACATCACGAACAACCAATTTTCGGATACACACGGGAATTGCTTTCGAAATCACTACGTCCTCCATTTTTTTCAACTGATTCAAATGCGATCACGTGTACAAATGCACCAGTTCCACCCGTTTGCTTCAATACATGTCAAACTTTCAAAACAAAAACAATCGAGGGGTTTTCCGATGGAAACTTATCGAAAACATACCGATTTTTGAAGTGGGCACTTTTTTTTGTCACTGTTTTCTTTTTCAATCCAAATTGATTTTCTTTTACTTCAAGTAAAACTTTATATTTTCAGTATTCCATAGGTGTAACTTTAAAAGAATAATAAAGGTAAGACATCGAAACAGACTACGGTGTGTTTATTTGAATTTGAACCAAATAAATGAGAGAAATTTCAAAAATGATGGGGTGGGCACTTTATTTTGCCTATCAGTGTACTTCCGTCCTGTGCTCATTGCCCCTTACCAGACTTTCTTGGGATACCAACGTAAACAAGCGTATTCAATAAAAATAAAAAATCGATCTACAAAAAGATCGATCGTTTGGTACTGATTTACTCAATGGATCGATTCTAGAGCCAAATATAAGATCGATCTTTCTCTGAAGATCGCCCAATCCTAGATTAAATATTTTTCGAACCTGTCGTAGCTGACATCCCTTCTTATTCCTACTCGTTTGATTTAGCGCAGTAGAGAAAATAAATAAAAGTACTAGGGTAAACGCTCCTATAGTTGCGGTACGTTAGAAGCGTTAGGTTCCTATAGAGATTGCTAAAGTATGATTGTGTAAGTGATTTGTTTTCATCGGGAAAATTTTCCGCTATGAAGTTTTTTTTTCCCGATGAAAACATTTTGCGTATACGTATACGTGACGCACACTACGTACGATAAACGTCAGCAATCTCTATAGTTGTGTATGGAGACTCCATACACAACTATAGGAACCTAACGCTTCTAACGTACCGCAACTATAGGAGCGTTTCCCCTAATTTATCTGAACAGGCATAGAGAAGAATCATGACGTACAACAGGATCATAAATTCGCCGAAAAAAGTGTTTGGTAAAGGCTAAGATTTATCAACTTGTTGAGAGAAGGAGTTAACGATAAAAACTACAAGGAGCTTTAGTTCGATGGACACTGATATTCTGTAGCCTTTCAACCTGTCGCAGACATCAGTTCAACCCTGGTACTCTGTGATGGTACCCAATACTTGTTTTGAATTACTGAGCTTACATTTTCTATAGAAAAATGCCTCAATTACAGGCTGTGTGAGCGAAGGCAAGCGGTTTGAGTTGCCTATTCGTGAGTGACTGAATGTTTTGTTGGCTCTTTCATTGCCTCGTCCTTTACCATTTGGTACAAACGGTCTGCACAGAGCAATTGATTGAATAGTGCAGAGCTTTCAATTCAGCCTAAGCAGTAAATAATTTAACGCTCTGACCAAGATTTTCCAAAAGAGTCAAATTTCTGAACACGTCCCAACTAAAATTCATATCA